TTACACACCAGGAATTCCCATCTCAAAACATCACAGTGGAAGAGTTTAAATTTCCATATGTTCGTAGGATATCCTCATTTAAAATATCTGCTCCTCTGGAAGTATTTAATGTACTAAATTCTACAAGTTTTTGGCTTAATGATGAATTGGTCATTAAAGAATTTGTTCCAAACAGACGGAGAACTAATAATAGGCCTTCCATATGTTTTGAGTGATTTCAATCTCCCTGACATTTCTTGGTCCCTTTCAACTGACTCGCCTGTCTCTACCCCTTTATTTGACCATGACTTCGTTGACGGTCTGTTAGAATTATCATTGCAGCAAGTTAGCTTTATACGTAATTCACTAAACAGACAATTAGATCTCGTATTTGTTTTAGATCCGTCTGAAGTCACTGTATCTAGAAATGACCCACTAGTTGTGCCTGAAGACCAGTATCATCCCACATTAGAACTTACAATTTGTCTTCCCTGCGTTGATACCCTCTCTCCTTCACTTTCCCCAACTAAAAGTAGATGCTTTCGTAAATGTGACTTTAGTAAACTCAACAACTTGATTTCACAATATAACTGGACAAATTTATATAATTGCTTGGATATTGAAAGTGCTACGGAACTATTTTATAGTGTCCTAAACTCTTTTTTCTGTGAATGTGTTCCTGATAGTTAACCTCCTAAGTTAGACAGGCCACCTTGATTTACCAATCAGTTGCAAAGACTTAGAAACCTAAAAAAAACTTCTGTAAAATTACAAAAAGTCGGGTAGGCCATCCGATTTTGCAAGATATGTGGCTCGTACTAATTTTAATGTACTTAACAGTCATTGCTATTCCATGTATTTGAACCGATGTAAATTTGAATTTTCAAAGGATCCGAGGCAATTTTATAACTTTGTCAATGCTAAGCGAAAGTCTTCTGCATTGCCATCATCCGTACGATTAAACTCTATTGAGGCATCTGCGGATCCCGAAATTGCAGATTTATTTGCTGAATTCTTCCAATCTACTTATAATTCTGTTTCTTGGTCTAATTCAAGCTACCCTATTCACTTAAACAGGGCAAATGGTATTTTTTCTCCTGTAATCACCGAGAGTTCTCTCTTAGGCGTTTTAGAAACTATAACGCCAACCTATTCTCCGGGGCCAGATGGACTCCCTGGGTGTGTTCTTAAGTTTTGAGCCCGAACTATTTGTAAACACATTCTTAAACTTTTTCATTTGTCTATCTCATCATCTGTTTTTCCTACTATCTGGAAAGATTCTTTTATTATTCCACTCCACAAAAAGGGTGCGAAGGTTAATGTTCAGAACTATAGAGGAATCTCCAAATTGTCTGTAATTCCTAAAACATTTGAACGCATTATTACCTCTCAGTTGCAACATTTGTGCTCCTCTTTAATGTTAAGCGTAGATCGACCACCACTAACCTGCTCGAATTGACATCTTTTGTACTAGATGGATTTAACAAAAATTGCAGACGGACGTTATATATACAGATTTTAGTAAAGCCTTTGACTCTGTCAACCACTCTCTTCTTTTAGTCAAATTAGATCAGCTCGGGTTTCCGAATAATCTGTTAACTTGGATTTCAAGTTATTTGAATGGTAGATCTCAACGTGACATCTGGAGTGCCTCAGGGCAGTCATTTAGGCCCTTTGCTGTTTATTCTGTTTATAAATGATCTTCCTTCTATCGTAATCACTCTCGTGTACTAATGTATGCTGATGATGTTAAGCTTTGTTTTTCATATAATAATATTGAATCTGGTTTCTGCTTGCAGTCAGACATGAATAGATTTCAGGAATGGTGTCAGTACAATCTTTTGAATTTAAACTATCTTAAATGCAACTTTATAGGGGTACGCCAACGTTCATGAGTTACTCTCTTCAGAACATGTCCTTGGACCGAATATACTCAGTAAACGATTTAGGTGTTCTCCTAGATCCTAAACTTAAATTTGACTCCCACATAACCTCTGCTGTAAATAAAGCAATGAGTGTTCTTGGGTTTCTAAAGCGTTGGTCTAAAGAATTTGATGATCCATACACTACCAAATTATTATATACCTCACTTGTCCGTCCTAATTTAGAATACTGTTCTTCCGTTTGGATACTGAGGACTAAGTATCAAGTGCACATTGACCGTATAGAGTCCGTACAGAAACAATTTCTTCTTTTTGCCTTACGTGGTTTGAACTGGGATCAAAACGTCAGGTTGCCTTCTTACTCGAGTAGATTGCTATTAATTAATTTGCCTAGTCTAATAAGCCGTAGAATTATGCTTGGTACTATTTTTATGAATATTGATTCTGTAGATTTGGTAAGCCGCCTAAGTTTCAATGTTCCTGTTAGGCTAATGCGAAACTACCATCCTATCAACTTCCCACGATGTTCATCTAATTTTAGTCAGCATGAGCCCTTTCGCGTTCTTTCTAATAATTATAACAACCTGTATCATTTAATTTGTTCCTCAACTTCTATCCCTGTACTAAAAACTAAAATCTTAGCTCATTTGCTTTAATCTTGTTGATCTATGTTTTGTCCTGTCTTTATTTGTAATATGTACCTTCTTCGCAACCGTATTTGCCCGAAATAAAAATGGGCCCGCGCGTAATAAGCACGTGCTTGGTGTCGTTTGGGCCACTTGTTTGTACTGCTCTTAGTGCATCAACGTTCAAAAATATATAAATAAAAAAGACGATGCTATCTAAGCAAGATTGTATTCGAAACATGTTATAATGGGTATATACTTAAAATTTTCTGCAGAAATTGATTGTTTTAAATTAAGCTATCAGCTATCTATCCCTTTTGAATAATGTGCTTTGAATACTAAATTACTAACACATGTCTTTGACTTATCAGGCTGATCATGTTTTCTCGGTTTCTGAAGGTTCAAATGGAACCAAATTGATGTTTTGAAAATACTTCAGCAGATTTAATTCCTTATCAATGGTCTTGAGATGTATCTTATCAGTGATCCTGCGTCTTGGATCTTGGGTATGTGACTTTTATGACGGTCATTATAGGTTACTGCAAGTCGGTCTTTGCTAAGTGAAGTTTATGGTCAGGGTAGGTCTTGTGTGCGTCCCTGTTATTGGTGACATGTTTTTGTACAAATCAACACCTGTTGAACATTAATTACCATCGACAATAGCGTTTTCTATTTTTATACCCGTTACTCGTAGAGTAAAAGGGTATACTAGATTCGTCGGAAAGTATGTAACAGGCAGAAGGAAGCGTTTCCGACCCCATAGAGTATATATATTCTTGATCAGGATCACTAGCCGAGTCGATCTAGCCATGTCCGTCTGTCCGTCTGTCCGTCTGTCTGTCCGTCCGGATGAACGCTGAGATCTCGGAAACTATGGGAGCTAGGCTATTGAGATTTGGCGTGCAGATCCCTGAGCTTCTTACGCAGCGCAAGTTTGTTTCAGCACAGTGCCACGCCCACTCTAACGCCCACAAACCGCCCAAAACTGTGGCTCCTACAGTTTTGATACTAGAATAAAAATTTTAGCTGAAATGTATTGTTCTCATCAATACCTATCGATTGATCCAAAAAAAAGTTTGCCACGCCCACTTTAACGCCTACAAACCGCGAAAACCTGTGACGCCCACAATTTTCATGCTAGATAAAAAATTTTAACTGAAATGTATTGGTCTCATCAATACCTATCGATTGATCCAAAAAGAAATTTGCCACGCCCACTCTAACTCCCACAAACCGCGAAAACCTGTGACGCCCAAAATTGTTATGCTAGATAAAAAATTTTAACTGAAATGTATTGGTCTCGACAATACCTATCGATTGGTCCAAAAAAAAAAATTTGCCACGCCCACTCTAACGCCCATAACGCTTAAATCTGTATACCGCCGGTAGGTGGCGCATTTTAATCTCGCTTTGCTGCTTGCATATCTCCATTTAGCTGAGTAACGGGTATCTGATAGTCGAGGTACTCGACTATAGCGTTCTTCCTTGTTTTTCTTTTGAGTTTGAGATTATTTTTAGATTATTTTGATCAAGTGATTCATAAAAAAATGTTATCTAGCATGAAAATTGTGGGCGTCACAGGTTTGGGCGGCTTGTGGGCGTTAAAGTGGGCGTGGGAATCTTTTTTTGGGTCAATCGATAGGTATTGATGAGAACAATACATTTCAGTAAACATTTTTATTCTAGCATCAAAACAGTTTTGGGCGGTTTGTGGGCGTGGCACTCTGCTGAAACAAACTTGCGCTGCGTAAGAAGCTCAGGAATCTGCACGCCAAATCTCAATAGTCTAGCTCTTATAGTTTCCGAGATCTCAGCGTTCATCCGGAAAGACAGACGGACATAGCTAGATCGACTTGGCTAGTGATCCTGATCAAGATGGGGTCGGAAACGCTTCCTTCTGCCTGTTACATACTTTCCAACGAATCTAGTATACCCTTTTACTCTACGAGTAACGGGTATAATAAGTGTGTCTCAAGTCTAAGTGAACTCTCAAAAAAAATTTTTTTTTGTAAGCAAGTGTTATTGCTCTTTCAAAACTTAGATTCAGCTATTTGTATACGATAAACTCGACATTATTGTCAATATAATAAATCGAATTTTTTCTCTCAATATGGAACTTTAGTTTAAGGGCACATATCCGTATATCTAAACTTGACCTGAGTCCCAACATAAACAAATATTCATTATACATTGTAAGGAAGCTCTCTGGCCGGGTACAGCTCTCAGTCGGATCCAGAGGTCATTTTTCAAGAAATTTGTATAATCATTGAAACACTGGGCTAGAGAGTAATGTCCGCAGGGCGAACGATGATTTTTAATTAATTACCCCGAAGATTTACACCTAGCCGCCCGGGGGGTATTTCAGGCGGACAGGACTTGCGATTCTCAGGCATGATCGTCACAATATATGAATTGTAATAAATTCAATAATTTGTAAAAAAAAAAAATGTTAAAAAAAACTTAATGCTTTTAAAAGCCAATATATCTGCATTATTGAAATGTTTAGTTGTACCTTTTGATCCATGCACTACCGTGGGGTAAAAAAAGTCATTTCTTGAAGTATTTGGTTTTAGTGGCGGCAATTTCGAATTATCAGTATGGTTATCTTTCAAATTCTTGAATTCTTTTAATTCACCAGGATTATTTTCTGTTAATGTGGTGGGGCCATCCTTTTTTAATGTACGTATAAGCTGGGCACGCCCTCGACCGACCGAAATGTTTAAGTTTTGCAGAGTGGTTATAAGATCCGATTCCATTTCCTTTTCTAGTCGAATAGATTCTCCACTTGAACCCGAATGGTCGACATCCAAGCCACTGTCAAGATCATGATCATCGCTCAATGATGAAATAATCGAGGGACCCGCCTTTTTATTAAACAAACTTAGTATATTTCCTCTGCCAGACATGCTCTGAAAAACATTGGGTATAAACAAAAAAATTGAGTTTTAATAAAAAAATAAAATGGAAGGAGGTGAAGAAATTGAGTTGGGTTCGGCGTTCCAAAAATAACAGAACCTTAAAATATTTTTAAGCAAAAAGTTTTTCCAAGCAATAGCGTAAAACTTTACTTTCCATCCCGGCTTACAATGTTTTAAACATAACCTATTGGTTTTTGTGGCAGATATGGATGCTGGTTTTGCTTGGACTTCTTAATTTTTTTCGAAGCAGGCGCAGAATCAAAAGCACTCTTCCAGGAATATTTATTTAATATTAAAATATTCGTCAGTGCTCGCTTTTGTAAAGTAAAAACAAGAGAGGACGCTATAGTCGATACCATCGACTATCAAATCGTTACTCAGCTGAAGAGAGTACGAGTGGGATAAATATGCTTGCTTGTGGCTATCACCACCTAGCGCTACCTAGTGTGCATGGCACCCTGCTGAAACAAACTTGCGCTGCGCAAGAAGCTCAGGAACCTACATGCCAAGTCCCATTGTAGCTTTTACAGTTTCCAAAATCTCAGCGTTCATACGGACGGACAGACAGACGGACATAGGTAGATCTAGAATATACATACTTAACGGAGTCGGAAACGCTTTCTTCTATCTATTACATACTCTCCGACGAATGTAGTATTCCCTTTTACTCTAAGGTTACCGGGTACAATAGAATCTAGGCGTCAGAAGTGCCAATATCGGTGATCCGACTTTTTAATGAAGATTTCAAAAGGAAGTATTTTTTTTCAAATTGCATAAGTAAAGATGCCGCACAAAACAAACTATATACATTTTCGGCAATCATATTTTTGAATAAACTTTTGCGGCGCAGCCACCGAAAGATTTTTAATTCTAATTTTGCAACTTCTTATACTAAAAAAAGCGTTTTTGGTCAAAAAATATATTTTTTGTTTTAAATAGAACAAATTAAAAGTGACAAAAAAGGTTTTGACGGTACCGGCGGAACCCTAGTATTGGATAGACATGGACTACCGCGACTGAACCGGTGACCACCACGACCACATCAGTCGGCACACCGAGAAATGTCCATGTTGTATTTGGCGGTTAGTTGCAACGGTCAGCGACTGCGAAGCCTAAGAGTTCAAACACAAGTGGCGGTCTAAAGCCTGATGGATCAGCAAAGGCCGCGGACGACACGGCATCCAAATTATCGGTGCCAAAGGAAAGGATCGCAACCTTGGAAAAGGATCTTCAAAAGGCAAGGTCATGGGAAGGGCAAGATGCAGCCGGAAAGGATTCCGTTAGGAACGGATCAAGCGGTAATGGAGCGAGCGGGGCGACGAATGCCAAGTATTGTTTGAGTGAAACGTCAGAGAAGAACTTTAGTGGAAATCTGCCGCCATTACTGAGTAGAAATCTGCGTCGAATTTGTCTAAGTCTTTAACGCCATCTTTACATAAACAGTTGCCGCTATAATTGAGACGAAATTTGCCGCCACAACCGAGTGGAAGAAATCAGACTCAGCACAAAGTGTACAACGCTAAACTGTTCGTCACCATGTTGCGTGTCAACTACGGGCAGCCAGTACTGAACTACGTGCAAGCCCCACGGGAATTTGATGGTACACCCGCAATCGGTTGGTTCCCCTGGAGCAGCTTCTCCGAGCCCTTTAATTGGGCGCAGACTGCCTGATCTTCCAGAGATCGAAGGTGAGACCAATGGCCAATATTCCAAAGCGCGTTAATCAAGACGACTTTGGCGTATAATTGTACTACTTTTGAAAACAACCAGAGGCTAGTAAAACACCTGAAAGGTGAAGCGCGAGTATCTGTTAAGCCGCTGTTATACACACGAGTAACGTTTAGGCTTTAATAGATCAGCTACGTTTTCGTTTCGGACGTCCGGAGCAATTGATTCGTAGCCAACTGCAGAGCGTGCGAGAAGTGCAGCCGACCCAAGAGCACAACAAAGTAAAGATCCTGCCATTTACCACACGGTTCTACAGTCAACTCTGATCGGGGAGTAGCCCCTACATTAATCAAGGAGCTGATCGTCAAGCTATCCTCTAAGCAAAAGGTTGAACAGGGCCAAGACCCCTCCGTAATAGGGTGCTACCCAACAGTAAAGCACTTAATGAATGGCTGAACAAGCTCGCTAAGCTAGTGCCCACTATAACAAGCGGGACAGCAAGGATCCTAAGTTAAGGGTGTTGCACGCCAGCATTAGTCAAATATACCAATTGAAATTGAAAGAAAGCATCGAATTTGTTTCTTATGAATGGAGAGTGGACACATGTCCATGAAGCATGGCGCAAGCGGGATGAAAGACGTCAGCCAAGTGAGAACGTAAGCTGCGTCGAGTCGTATGGAAGACTCTTACTATTCTTTATTTTACCCGTAACTCTGCAGGGGGAAAATACGTAGATAAGCACCTACGCGCTGTTTTATTAAGGTTCTTCCGTAACCCTGATCGAGGGAGAGCTCATTCCAAGGCCAAAAACGGACGGTCGAGTGTCGTTTGGTGGCAAGTCAGCAAAAGAGAACGCAAAGATGGTCAGGCTCCAGATTAGTGGAGAGGGCACACCGTGGTCTGAAAAATGTGTATGCGGTCCATAACCTCAATCAACCGATGCAAAGGTTGCATCAAAAAGATGTCAAAGCGGACAAAGTAAGTTCATGCCTGCCGAAAAAGCCGTGCAGTAATGCGGTCCCGAGGATTTTAATTGGACTAGACCAGTAAGATAGGTTTTTTTTGAACACAGATCACAGGCTTTTAGTACTGAAACGATCCTAGTCGTGAACGAATTTTTTTTTGGAACTTCTGCCATTCGATATGTGTCCTTGGACTAGACGTGAATGGAATAGGCAGATCGGAAGCTATCGACGGCCTCAAAGGTTCGATTGCGCTCAGTCAAAAAGAAATCAAGCTCGAGCCACGTAGGAATTTCGGCAATTTTTTGTATGGATTACTCGCATAATGAGAGCGTAAGCTTTGGTAGTTTTGTCGAGCACAATTAAACCGAAATAGTGTCCAAATTCTCAATATTAGGGATGTTAAGCAATTTGAATAGTGCGTTGAATTTCCTTTAAGGCTGCTCCAGACTCCTGTGCTATGGGTTGCACAATGAAGAGAGTTTTCAGGTTAATGTTCACCTGCAATCGCATATTTTCGAAACGCTCAGTTAGGTTTCTCCAGGCTGACCGAAAACTATCATTGTGGAGTGGGGATTTCAATACAATAATATTTGGATATTAGTATGGATTTCGTGTCGCCTGCACACTGCCACAACGCAATCGGAGCATATGTCATATGCTGCCTTTACCGTTTGGCACAAGGAACTGAAATGATTGCGACGGATTTTACAGGCGGATAACGTCGGGGTAGGAGCACCTGGAGCGTTCACAGTGGCCTGAAATTGGATCTTACAGTCAGCTGTGGCCATAAATTGGGCTAAAGCGGATTTTGCTGATGATGCTATGTAGGAAAATAACTTAGAATTTTAATTCAGAAGTAAGGAAACGGAACCGGGATAGAAACTTATTGGAATTTAGGAACCAATAGAAGCCCTTATAAGTATACGGTCACACTGTCGAATAGGCAAATTCAATATATATTTATTATCGGATTTTCGGATTTTTGCGCTGGAGAAATTATCGATGTACGCATGTATGTACAGTATACATATGTATGTGGGGTGCGAATAGCAAAACAACGTTGCGGGAATTGTGAAGACCTCGTTTGTTTTTTTGTCGGTGCGTTTGTTTCTCATATGCACAATTTAATTGCAGACGATTTGCTGGAGTAAATTAGTAAATTTAGTAAAATGTATGTCGAGAAAAGTAGTTGGAATGGACTGTACTAGAATATTTATGTAAACACGCAGCTGGAACACAGTAAAAAACAAGGAAGAACGCTATACTCGAGTTCCACCACTATCAGATACCCTTTACTCAGCTTAAGGGACCAAAGAGAGATGGAGATAGGGAAGCAGCAAAGCAATATATATTTCAATATATGGTAATGTGGGCGTCGGACAGATTCAAGCGTTATGAGCGTTTTTGGGCGTTACAGTGGACATAGAAAACTTTTTTTAATCAATCGATAGGTACTGCCGATAGTAATTTATTTAAGTTTAGTTTGTATTCTAGCATAAAAACTGGGCGACACAGTTTTGTGCGGTTTAGCACAATTGTTATTACATTAGCGTAACAAACTGCGTACGAAGCTAAGGAATCGAGAACTCAACTCTCTAGCTCTTATAGTTTCCGAGATCTCAGCGTTCATAGGGACTGACGGAAAACCGGACATGGCTAGATCGACTCGGCTTGTGATCTGATCAAAAATATATATACTTTATGGGGTCGGAAACGCTTCCTTCTGCCTGTTACATACTTTCCGAAGAATCTAGTATACCCTTTTACTCTACGAGTAACGGGTATAAAAAGTGTGTCCTTTAAAAACTGATCTACAAAAAAAAATTCGGAAACTCTTCCTTCTACCTGTAATATAATTTTCCCCGAATACAATTATCACTTTTACTTTACTAGTAACGGGTATAAAAAGCTCCCGCCTTGATTTATTCCGATTGGAGAGATCAAAGAGACTGCAAGTAAGACTGCGGTTTACACCTTATTGTTAGTATAGGGTAAAATGTAAAACTCAAACAGGTTCATGCCAGTGTGCATGCTCTAACTTTACGCTCCAAAATTGTTGCCATTGCAAAGCTTTGTTAATGGCAACATCTACAGGATTTCTACGCAGTGAAGGAGAAAATATCTACCCTATAATGCAGGAATTCTCAACCCCTATGCACACAGGTCACATTTGTAGTTTAAAGTTACCCAAAGGTTGTAATGTGGTCACACCCATAAGGCCTCCTAGTCACACACACTTGTTCCTCTTTGTGCCAGTGTCCTCTGAAAAAAGCGAAACAAACCAAAAACAAATATACTAAATTTCTTTTTTTCGTCTCTAATCCAAATGTAATTTGTTTTTGTCTTTTCCTTGAGTGT